CTATTTCATGAATCTATCGTTTGAAGCATTTGAAAACATATACTTCTTGACCTGTTTCACTTCCTGGATGAGGTAGGATATGGGGAACTGACATAGTTCCGCCCATCTTCTTGGAGTTGCCAATTTTTTTTGGAATCGGAGTCTTTTAATTTGAAATGTAAATAAAAATCACGAAATCAGAAATGGATTAACCATGTTGTTCTGATTTAAATTATGTTCAGGATTTGTAACAAACTAAAATCATTAATTAATAGGATCGTAAGTTTTATTTTCCGTTCTGTGGTTAAGGCTTCGTTTGCAATGTGTGTCCTTTGAGCTGGTTCCTCCTTTTCGAACGGGAGCGGTTGAAGTTGTCAAGCCCTGCAATTTCCATTTTGTGTGTCTGTGTTAAATTCCAGTTCACCAATCTCTTTATTTAATCCACCGGAATATACCCAAGGAAAATCAAACCACCAAATCAGGACAGAAGTCTGAATTAAATAAAACGAAATCGCGGGAGCACACATTTGGTTTATGATTTAATACACTCGGTCTCTAATAAATGTCTTCCAAATATTTCAAAAATGATTTTTTAGAATAAACGAATTAAAATCACTCACCAATGCTAAGGATTGGAATTATATTATCGAGTGCTATCACAATCTCCGAGTTTAAAGCTGGTGAGAGTATGTGATGTGGGTGTAAAGAGCCCTGTGGCCACACAGGGACTGGTATAAATTACACAGCACTCTCACAGACGTTTTTAATTTATGATCGGTTGGTTCCATAATGGGCCGAACGGCTATCTTCTAGAACAGAGAACAGTACAGGCCCTTTGGCCCACGATGTTGAGCCAACCTATTGTCCTACTAAGATCAATCTATCCTGCATACCCTACATTTTATTATCCTCCATGTGCCTATCCAAGAGTTGCTTAAAAGTCTCTAAAGTATCTGAATCCACTACCACTGCTGGCAGCGCATTCCACACACCCACTACTCTCTGTGTGAAGAACCTACCTCTGACATCTCCCCTATACCTTCCTCCAATCACCTTAAAATTATGCCCCTAGTAATAGTAATTTCCGTCCTGGGAAAAAGTCTCTAGCTATCCACTCTATCTATGCCTCTCATCATCTTGTACACCTCTATCAAGTCACCTCTCATCCTTCTTTGCTCCAATGAGAAAAGCCCTACCTCCCTCAACCTTTCCTCATAAGACCTGCCCTCCAATCCAGGCAGCATCCTGGTAAATCTCCTCTGCACCCTCTCTAAAGCTTCCACATCTTTCCTATAATGAGGTGACCAGAACTGAACACAATATTCCAAGTGAGGTCTAACCAGAGCTTTATAGAGCTGCAGCATAACCTCACAGCTCTTAAACTCAATTCCCCTGCTACGTAATAATTCTGTTAACCTAGTTACTGGAACCGAAGCTTGGACCGGAAAAAAACCCACAACAACAATTTTGGATCATTTGGAAGAGATTCAGTTTAATCAAGTAGACCCACTTCTCTGGTATTTTGATAGAACCATGCACAAAATGGTTACAGTGCAGAAGAGGCCATTTGGCCCCTTTGTATTTTCTCTGTTTCCAAAGGTGCAACTCCCAGTGCTACATTCCAGTTCTTCACCTCACTCTGCACATCCCCCTTGGATGACCTCAGTCATAGAATCATACAGAGCGGAAACAAACCCTTCAGTCCAACTCGTCCATGCCGACCAACTTTACCAAACTAAACTTGTCCCACCTGCCTGCATTTATCCCGTATTCGCCTAAACTTTTCCTATTCATGTACCTGTCCAAATGTCTTAAATGTTGTAACTGTACCTGCAACCATTGCTTCCTCTGGCAGTTCATTTCACACACCAACCACCCTCTGTGAAAAGACTTCTCCTTTTAAATCTTTCCCCCCTCACATTAAAACTATGTCCTCTAGTTTTGGAACCCCCCACCCCAGGGAAAAGACCTTGTCTATTTACCCTATTCACGCCCCTCATGGTTGTATGAACTTCTATAACATCACCCCTCAGCCTCCGATGCTTCAGGGAAAACAGCCCCAGCCTATTGATCCTCTCCCTATAGATCAAACCCTCCAACCCTGGCAACATTGTTGTAAATCTTTTCTGAACGCTTTCAACTTTCACAACATCCTTGCTATAGTAGGGAGACCAGAATTGCACGTAGTATTCCAAAAGTTGAACTGCAACATGACCTCCCAACTCCTATACTCAATGCACTGACCAATAAAGGCAAGCACACCAAATGCCTTCTTCACTATCCTGTCTACCTGCGACTCCAATTTCAAGGAACTATGAATCTGCACTCCCAGGTCTCTTTGTTCAGCAACACTCCCAGGACCTTCCGATTAAGTGTGTTAAGTCCTATTATTTGCCTTTTTAAAATGCAGCACCTCACATTTATCTAAATTAAAGTCCATCTGCCACTCCTCAGCCCATTGGCCCATCTGATCAAGATCCCATTGTACTGTGAGGTAACCTTCTTCGCTGTCCACTACACCTCCAGTTTTGGTGTCATCTGCAAACTTAATAACCATACCTTCTGTGTTCACATAGTGGACCCAGCTCGGATCCTTGTGGCACACCACTGGTCACAGGCCTCCAGTCTGAAATGCAGCCCTCCAACACCACCCTCTGTGGGGTTATTGGCTTGATCACCGAGCTGGCTGATTATCGTACAGATGTTTCATCACCATGCTAGGTAACATCATCAGTGCGGCCTCCGATGAAGTGATGTTGTTATACTCTGCTTGGTATTTATATGATCTGGTCTGTTAAGTTGGGTTGTGTCATTTTCAGTTCTGTTCTGCATGGGTTTGTATATGGGATCTAATTCCACATGTTTGTTGATTGCATTACGGGTTGAAAACCAGGCCTCTAAGAATTCCCGTGCGTGTTTGTAGTTGGCTTGAGCTTGGATGATCACGTCCTAGTTGGATTGATGGTCTGCATTATCCGAGTGTACTGATGAGAGAAAGTTTGTAGTATTGTTTTGCTGATAGCTGGTGTTTGCAGACAGTGCAGCTAGCAAACAGGATCACCCAACTGCCGAGGAGACTAAAAAAATGCAGAACAATTAACCAAGACATACTACATGAGAATGAAACCAGAAGGCTCGAACACCCAACGAACACCAGCTAGCAGCAAAACGACACGATGAACTTTCCCTCATCTCAGTGCACTCAGACAATGCAGGCCATCAATTTAAGTGGGACAACGTGACCATCCTAGCTCAAGCTAACCACAGACACGCACGGGAATTTCCTGGTTTTCAACCTGTAATGCAATCAAAAAACATGTGGAATTAGACCCCATATACAAACCCATGCAGAACAGAACCAGAAATGACACAACCCAACTTAACAGACCAGATCATACAAATACCAAACGGAGAAGAACAACATCACATCATCGGAGGCCGCACTGATGATGTTACCTAACACAGTAACAAAATGTCTGTACGATAACCAGCCAGCTCAGTGAGCAAGCCAACAACCTCATCCACAACCCAAGCTACAAATCTTTGCAAGAACCTTAACCACCCTCTGTCCTTTTCCTTCGAGCCAGTTCTGTATCCAAATGGCTAGTTCTCCCTGTATTCCACGTGATCTAACCTTGCTAACCAGTCTACCATGAGGAAACTTGTCAAACGCCTTACTGAAGTCCATATAGATCATGTCGACCGCTCTGCCCTCTTCATTACTTCTTCAAAAAACTCAATCAAGTTAGTGAGACACAATTTCCCATGCACAAAGCCATGTTGACTACCTCTAATCAGTCCTTGCCTTTCCAAGTACATGTAAATCCTGTCCCTCAGGATTCCCTCCGACAACTTACTCACCACCTATGTCAGGCTCAACGGTCTGTAGTTCGCTGGCTTTTCCTTACCACCTTTCTTAAATAGTGGCACAACATCAGCCAACCTCCAGTCTTCTGGCACCTCACCTGTGGCTATCAATGATACAAATATCTCAACAAGGTGCCCAGCAATCACTTCCCTCACTTCCCACACAGTTCTAGGGTATACCTGATCAGGTCCTGGGGATTTATCTGCCTTTATGCGTTTTAAGGCGTCCAGCACCATAAGAAACTACAGAGAGTTGTGAACACAGCCAACCTTCTATCACACAAGCCAACCTTCCATCCATCGATTCTATCTTAACTTCTTACTGCCTCGGAAAAGCAGCCAAAATCCTCAAAGACCCCTCCCACCCCGGTTATAATCTCTCCCAACCTCTTCCATCAGGCAGAAGATACAAAAGCTTAAACACATGTAATAACAGGTTCAAGAACAGCTTCTTCCCCATGCTTATTAGAATTCTGAATGGATCTCTCAAATTTCAAATCTAATGTTAATCTTGCTTTTTGTGCACCTTCTTTGCAGCTGTAACTTTTTATTCCTCGCTCTGTTCAATCATTGTATGATCTTTGTATGGTATGATCTGCCTGTACTGTGTGTAAAAAAAAACTTTTTGCTGTATGTAGGTACATGTGACAATATTAAATCAAATCAAATCAATACCTTTCCTGTAGCAGGAGACCAGAATTGAAAGCAGTATTCTAGAAGTGGCCTCACCAATGTCTTGTAGATGACCTTCCTATACTCAATGCACTGACCAACAAAGGCAAACATGCCAAATGCCTTCTTCACCACCCTGTCTACCTGCGACTCCACTTTCAAGAAACTCTGCACCTGCACTCCTACGTCTCTTTGTTCAGCAACACTCCCCAGAGCCTTGCCATTAACTGAAAAAGTCCTTCACTAGTTTGCCTTACCAAACTGCAACACCTCACATTTATCTAAATTCAACTCTATCTGCCACTCCTCAGCCCACTGACCCATCTGTTCAAAGTCCTGTCATACTATGTGGATAACCTTCTTCAGTGTCCACTACACCCAACAAGTTTGGTGTCATCTGCAAACTTACTAACCATACTTTCTACATTCACATCCAAATCATCAATATAAATGTCAAAAAGAGTGGAAAAGTCATGTGGTCACTAATTCATAATCCAGAACCTCTGGGCTCTGGCGATACGTGTTTGAAAACGGCGATAGCAGATGTGAAATTTGAACTCAATGCAAATCTGGAAATGAGAAGCTAGAGGTATCAACGTAAGCACAGTCAGTTAGTCTCTCCCCTTTTAGTCCTCTGACCCTCAAACTTAACGTTTTTTGGCTTATGAGTAATGCGGGATTTAAATGTTGATCATACAGATTCCCCACGCTCAGGAAACTGATGACCACGCCTGTGCGGAACCAAGCGTCGAAACTGAAATAGTCCAGACTGCGACACGTAATCTAACGCGGGGTTCTCATTCTCGGAGCATATATAAAAAAATAAGGCGTCGCAAGAGGTTAATACAGAGCTAATGGCTGGTCAAGGTACGTTTCTAAAGGTTTTAGGATTTGTGTGAAGCGAACGGGTGATTGATAGGGCAGTGCTTGTGTAAGTTTCTGTGGTCAGGAGAACTGTTTAATGTGCCGGTCATGACTCACAAAGCAAATCCCGGAACTAACCGAAATTCAACATTTCGTTTGTTGTTTCTGTTAACATATTAAACGAGGGTCGCGGAGTTGAGTTGCGCTGTCACTAGCTGTGTCACTCTCTGGCAGATGACCGCGGCCGTGAGCTATATTTAAAGGGAGAGAGAAAATTAACTATTTAGTGTCTGCTCCTTGTTCGGGCCTTCCGTTCAAGCACCGTGTGAGGCACAACTGTCCTGATAATGCGCTGTTAAAAATACTCTTCAAAAAACAACAACACAGGCGGTTGGAGGATTAAACAGGTCATTCAAACTGTGGTTAAACATACTCCCGAACGTTTCTTATCCGTGGAGAGTGGATCGGGTTATAATTTTGGATGTTGTTTGCAGGAATTCTTATTGAAGCCTGGAATGAAATTGATCAGACCCGTACTCGACCGTCCTGCCGTTGTGCTTACATAATACAGTAGCTTATTTTGTCAACATTTTCCTCAGTGAAGTACTTCTGGATTGAGCACATAGAAACTAGGAACAAGGGTAGGCCATTGGGCTCTTTGGGCCCTTCAGTATGATCGTGGCTGATCCTCTCTTAACACTATATATTCCCGCTTTTTCCTCCATACCCATTAAAGCTTTTACTATCTGAAAAATATCCTTATTTTTGTATATACACAGTGACCCTGTCTCCACTCCCTCTGTGGTAGCCAATTCCACAGATTTACCACCCTCTGAGCGAAGAAAGGTTTCCTCATTCTCAGTCCTAAATGACCTACTTCATATCCTGAGACTGACACTACCATCAGGGGAAGTATCCTCTCTGCATCTAGTCTGACTAACTCTTAGATTTCTGTACATTTCAACCATTCTTCTAAATTCTGGTAAATACAGACCCAGTTAAACCCAGCTCATCTAATACAATGACCCTCCTGTCACCATACCAGCTTAGTGAACTTCTGCACCCCTTCTAGGCCAAGTATAGCATAGAATCCCTACAGTATGGTAACAGGCCCTTTGGCCCAACAAGTCCACACTGACCCTCAGAGCATCCCACCCACCTAATCTGCACATCCCTGAACACTACAGGCAATTTAGCAAGGCTAATCCACGTAGCATGCACGTCTTTGGATTATGGGAGGAAACCCACGCAGACACGGGAGAATATGCAAAATCCACACAGATAGACACCCGAGGCTAGAATCAAACCTGGGTCCCTGGCGCTGTGAGGCAGCTGTGCTTAACCACTGAGCCACTCTGCTGACCAAAACTGCACACAATTCTCCAGGTGCAGTCTCGCCAATAACATACTTATTTCTGAACTCCAGTCTCTTTCAATGAAATGGCTTTCTAATTGCTTGCTGCACCTGCATGCTAACTTTCAATGACTGGTGTACAAGGATACCCACATTCCTTTGTATATTCACATTTTGCAATATCACCATGTAAATAATACGCTTGTCTTCTGTTTTTCACATACAACTTTTAACCACGCGATACTGCATCTGCAATGCATTTGCCCACTCACTCAACATGCCCATGAAACCTCCTTGCATCCCTGTCAGACCTCCAATCCAATCGAGTTTGGTGTCATCAGAATACACGGAAATATTGCATTGATTCCCTCATCCAAGTCATTTGTACATGTGTAATAACCATGCTAAATTGCCCATGGTGTCCAGAGCTGTTTAGGTTAGGTGGGGTAGATATTGGAAATGCAGGGGTAGGGGAATGGGTTTGGGTGGGATGCTCGTCAGAGGGGCAGTGTGGACTTGTTGGGCTGAATGGCCTGTTTCTCCACTGTAGGGATTCTATGATTCTATTCTATGATTCTATGATATTCTTTATTTCATTCATTACCCATGTATTCAAATTCTCTTGCATTAAAGGCCAACATATCATTTATCACTTTCTTTGTCTACTTTAGTTGAGTTCTGAAATGCATCAATTCTCAGTGGTACTAATTTCTACTACCCTAGAATAAATCTCACCCCCTGGGAAAGTCTACATTTGTATGACTTATTGGTAAATAGATAGTGAGTCACAATTGACTTAATTAAGTGGAAATTAATTTCGTACTCTAGTCTCCATTTGATCACACAAATTCATCTGTTTTAATTTAAAGCCAGGGGGAAAATAGATGGACAAAAGCAAAATACTACAGAAACTAATATAAAAGTGGGAAATTTAGGTAAAGTAGCATCTTTTGAGAAAGTTAATATTTCAGCTTGATGAGTCAGAAAGGAGTTCTAATGAAAGCTGATTAGCCTGAAATATTAGCTTTCTAGTTCTTTCCGCATTTATTGTCTAACTGGTTGGACTAATTTATAAGGAAGTGTTGAGAGAATAACATGAAAGAAGTTCAATGAAACTGATGTAAATTATAAGCTCCAGTATGGATTAAGTAGTCATATTTCATACAGATTTTTTTTTCATTTAAAATGGTGGGGTACTTGTAAGCCAGTTTACAGAAGGAAATCTGCTATCTGCTAAAGTACCTTTGTGAACCAGATGGAGATTTACAACAATCAACAATGGTTGTATGGTCACCATTAGATTGGCTTTTTAATTCTGTTTTTTTTAATTGAATTTAAATTTCCACACATATCATCGTGGAATTTGAATGCCATGTTCCGCAGAGCATTGATCTGACACTAGCCCTGGGAAATTACCACCTCTCTACCAGCAACCTGGTTAAACTTTGCATGTCTTAGGATAGATTCTTCAGTTTGTTGATTGATGAGACATCAGACAGAATTTAGTGGAGCCCCCTGGAGTGGGGCAGATGGCATGTGGGTCCAGAGAGTCAAGTGGGAATCTGCTGATCTGACCTAAAACAGCAGGAAAACTGTTAGTGAGTAGCAGGAACAGATTGCCACAGTAAATGTGCTGTTCGTGAGCAACTTAAAACCAATTAGTTCTGGGTGGCTCAGGAACTAAAGGATACTTGCACAGATCCACATTTCTGGTGGCTCCAGAAAGCTGTGTAGCAGATTTTCTAGTGACCAGTCTGTTGGTTCACAGAGGGCTCAGCATCAGAGGTCATTAATCTGCTGAAGCCAACTATCCCCACATCCCCACCATTGCTTTCAGGCACCCCTTTCAGCAATTACAATCCAACAACAGTGACTGGTGGAAAAATTCAATCTACTACTGACAAGAGGCCACTGCTCCTGTGACACTGCTACTTATGAAGAGCTGCCAGCCTCTGATTGGCTGGTTGATCTTGAGGGCAGGGTTTCTTCCTTTTGGGTTCTTGGTTTGATGTGAATCCTGATGCTGTCGAGGTTTGAGCCTGCTTACCTTGTAATTACGTCATGCCTCTGGTGGAAAGGATGCAAATCTTTCACAGCAGCTTTCCAACAGGTAGGCAAGATACCCATCACCACAGCTAGACTTCACCCAGGTGTTGCCTTCCCTGCTGTCTCAGATCCAACATCCCCGGTATATGGTGGCACACTAAAATGGATCTCTAATTATCTTAACCTGCAGTGCAAAAACCCGCAAATGGTCTGTGGGAAGCTGTGAGCACAATGAGGGGTATATTTGACTACACCTGACGGTGATAGGGAAGTGGGTGGTGGCTGTAATAACTGACTGTTGGAGGGGTTTGTTTTTATGAGTACGACTGTTTGTTTGAGTTTCCGAAAACTCAATTTAATGGCTCATTGTTTGACAACAGTGATTTTGAAATCTATATCTTGGAAAAAGGAGCCAGTAGGAAATTACAAAAATGGGACAATGGGGAGGAGTTTGGGGGTGGTGGGCAAGCTTTACCGCAGAATGGGTTTCAGAAGATTCTGTAAAAGTTGGAGCATAAGTGGCTAAGCTAGGCATCTGATTGACCAGAGGGGCTGTGATGGACATTTTGATTTTGAGAGTAACTTGGTATTGGATTTTAGTTTCAGTTCTGAGTCAAATAGGATTGCTTGGACACTGTTGGGTTTGGGATGAGTGAATGACTTGATATGGAAAGGATGCTGCTTATTACGATAATATGGAGGCGTGACTTGGACCTATTATAAAGTTTATTTTACTGTATATTTATAAAACCTCAGCTTGGTATCTGCTGGTTAGCTGGTTTGCGTACTGGGCACTTCAGTATTATATTTTCTTATATTTCCAACATCTGTTATCCCAATCAGGTTGCTGGAACATTGCAGTAGCAGCCATGAAACTGAATCCAATCTTGCCTTGATAATAAATAGATTTTATCATTCTACAGTTTTTCTTTTATCTTAGATGTGTGTCTGTGTATATAATATACCTAAGGATACACTAGTTGCATAGGTAGATGGTACAAAACTTTAATTCACCCACATTATTAAAATTGACTCTTTGCAAATGTATTTGCAAAATAGATGTTGTGATAGTTTAATACACTTACACATTATGGACCAGACCAAAGCCCCTCAAAATATATTAAGAAGGTAGCCTAGACCCTAACTTTTTTTTCTTATTTTAAAGGTAAATGTAAGGTGTTGTGTTCCAGATGCAATTTGATTGGTCAAACTACCAGATTTAAAGCAAAACACACTTTAGTCATCCACTAAAATTAAAATACAACAAAAGAAAGAAGGAATTGAACTAACTTTACTGGAAAACCCAACAGAATAATAGATACTGTAACTATTACTAATTAACTTCTAATATAAAAACATACCACAAACACCCACTTGGAAAAAGGCAAATTCAGAAAACAGAATGTCTCACATGCAACTCTCATAGCAGGCAGAAATTCCCCAGCTTTTGGTTGTAATTGAGAGAGGGAAAGAATAGCTTTTGCTTCTTCAAGACCCCAAAAGCAATTGCTTAAAGCTGAACCTGAAATCTCTGGTTTTGTGGGAGCTCAACCACATCCATTCAGGCTGCTTCAATTGTTCCGACTTTATTAAAAAAAACCCCAAGGCCATTTACTTTCTTACAGACTGCTCTTCACGTGTCCCCCGATCTCTCTCTTAAAAAAAACCAGAACAAAAGACACCTCTTAAAGCCACACCATTGTCACACAAAGCATGATCAAAATTTTGTGGACTTAGTTCCAACTGGAATGGTCCCTGTCTTTCTATCTCATATCTCTACTTGAGCAGCCAATAATCATGCTGACCTCCGTTTATTACCCTCTTACACCCATTTCTCAGAGTGCTCTTGCAAAATGTGCCATTCTGTCCTCTCCACACAAGTCATTACGAACTTTAATACCTGAGACAGTAGAAGAAAACACACGTGCTATAAATCATGGATTTTTGGGGAGGGAATGGAAGCTTTCCACTGACGAGAGGTTTAGTAGCTACTGGAAACTGTTACGCCTGTGGCTCAGACTGCCAATTTATGTTATCTGTCTAGAGTACTAACTTTTTAAAAATATAGACAAAGTGTGTGATTCCAGAGAATACTATGAGAATAAGGACACAAGATTTCAAGGTTTTGAACAAACAACAATAAATGTTACTATATGAAGTTAGAACAATTTCAATCTACAATGTATACACAACTTGTACACTATTTTTTAAAAAAAGACTTGGGGACAAATGTTTTACACAGAAGGTGGTTCGCGTGTGGAATGAACTTCCTGAGGAAGTGGTGAGTATGGTTAAAGTTACAACGTTTAAAAGATATTTGGATAAGTACGTGAATAGAAAAAGTTTGGAAGGATATGGGCCAAGAGCAGGCAGGTGGGACGAGTTTAGTTTGGGATTATGTTAGGTATGGCCTGGTTGGACTGACGGGTCTGTTTCCGTGTGACGCTATGGCTAGTGTCCAGAATTAACCTCTGGTAAATGAGGTTGAGCACCCTACGGAGCACATCAAATAGCAAATATGGTCCGGACTGAACCCACAGATCTCTCAGAAGGCTACTCCGATGCACGTTTTGATGACTCCGTGGGTCGTCAGATCTTTACAAGGGATTCCAATTCTTCTTTGTCAAAAACTTAGCTTTGGAATTCCCTCAAAAGATGCTCAGTCATATACTGCCTGAATGACTGCTCGTGTCCTGGTATTTCATACTCCCAATAGGAACTGTGCTTCTCTGGATTCTAGAAATTGCACTCCAGCACCTGCTCACAGACAGACATAACTTTAGCTTGTACAAAGACAGCTAGCTTCATTCAGCTGGTACTGCCCTGCAGTTCTCCAAACTCTTTATCTGTACCAATTAAATACTGCTTGTGGGCTTCATAAACTGACTGTTTGTTGGATGGAACTATAAATGGCTGACAGCCTTCTTCAAACTATCACACACACACCCAATATTTCTGAGACCTAGTTCCAATTCTTAGCTACTGGATCTTAGCCCTTTCCTAAGTCCCAAATACACAACTATCACGCAGAACCTGGGACATCTTCCTGCATGTAAGATATTTGTTTGATCTCTCTGTCTCTCATTCTCCCCCTCTCACTCCCTCCCCAATTATATCACTAACTTCTTGGCCTCTAACCCATGACTAAACTGTTTTTGAGTGATCTATTGAAAACCTGATGACAAGTCCTGCCTTTATTCCGAGGCAGGATTAAATGTAGCAACCATTGGGACACACTGTTCCTGGAATGTTACAATATTCAGATATTTTTCATTCATATTGTTTGCTTATACAGTTACACAACCAAAGATTTCATCACACATTACATGTCCACCTTCCCACTGCAAAGATGGTTTCGTTCCAGGAGACTGCACATGTCATTAGCAACCTGCAATGAGAGCCTGAACCTTCTGAAGTACTGATGCTCAGATATGTAGAAAGAGTTGCCAGTACACCTCACATAGTTGGTTTCGCCTCCTTCAGCTGGATTGTGGTGTCCATTCCATTTAACTTCTGGTGATGCGTGCAACTGTGGAGGAGGCAGACGTTGTAGTTGATACTACCAGAGGAGCGGCATGGTGGCTCAGTGGCTAGCACTGCTGCCTCACAGCGCAAGGAACCCAGGTTCGATTCCACCCTCGGGCGACTGTCTGTGTGGAGTTTGCACATTCTCCCCGTGTCTGCGTAGGTTTCCTCTGGGTGCTCTGGTTTCCTTCCACAGTCCAAAGATGTGCAAGTTAGGTGGATTGTCCAGAGATGTGTAGATTAGGTGGGTTGTGAGGGGATGGGTCTGGGTGGGATGTACTGAGGGTCAGTGTTGACTTGTTGGGCCGAAGGGCCTGTTTCCACCCTGTACGGATTCTATGATATGATATGACGATAGGTGGTTCTTTTGGTGATGGTGTTGTTTCTGCTCTTGTTCTTCATCAAATGTTGATAGGGGAACTGCATGAACTGATCTCAAGACATACTAAAGACTGATCACAGCCTTATTTCACTGAAGAAGCACTTTTCACTGTGCACTCCTGTCAGTGACTATAGCAAGTCACTTAGCTTAACATCGGTTATAGGGAAGCTATGAATAAAAATGTTGTTATAGTAGGGCATTTGGAAAGTTTTAAGGTAATCAGGCAACATCACTTTGCAAAAGGGGTATCATGTTTAACCAATTTATTGGTGTTCTGTGAAGAAATATCCCTGTGGATAAAGGGAAACTGCTGGATGTACTGTTCTTAGATTTCAAAAAATCACTTATAACGTTATTGAGGAGAATGAGTTCATGGTGTAGGTAGTAATATACTGGCATGATAGAAAGTTTGCTGGCTGGCAGGAACAGAAAGTAGACCTAAACGAGTTAATTGGTAACTGAAAAGATGAAATGAGTTATGTGCCACAGGAATTAACAGTTCACTTAAATAACTGGACTGAAGGAACAAAATGAATGGCTGCTAAATTTGCTGATGACACCAAGAGAGTTAAGGAAGTAAGTCGTGAAAAGGATATAAGGAAGCTACAAAGAAACATAGGTTAAGTGAGTTGGCAATGATCTGGAAAATGGAGAGTTTAAAAGGAGTATATTATCTAAACAGTAAGAAGTTGCAGAGCTCATAGATGTAGAGGGACCTGGGCTTCCAAGTGCATAAATTGCAAAAGGTTATTATGCAGGTACATCAAGTAATAATGAAAGCTAAACAACTTCTAATTGGCTTTTAACTACCTTATTTATTCCAAAGAGATCTTCTGATTGCTTTTAGAGTATCATCAGGGCAAGATTAAAGAGGCTGAGATAATGTTGCAATCCAGTCTGAGCATCATTTTCAAGGGATTTGATTCCACAGCCCCAAATGTGACTTGTCTTACCTTGGACAACTCTTCTCTGTTTGTCCAGCCTGTCTGTTTCATAAGCCTTCTGCTGTGAACTAATGTTGTACCGGATTTCTTACTTTGCAAAACGTTGGGATAACTTCAGCATATATTCAAGATACACAGTTTTCAGCTTTAGTTGTGGATTCATTCTTTGTTCGTCTGTTTCAGAAAATGGCTTTGCCAGATATTCATAATGCTTGTATCCAATGGCCCATATTTATTTGATATTAAGTAGACATTTTTCAGATCTATTACTACACTAAACTCATACTTATTGATTTATGAATTAAAATATAAAGTGTAAGCAATAAAAAAATGGTACATTCTGGAGAGTGTTGATAATTAAATCATTTGTAGTTATACTATTCATTCAGTTATCAATTCCAGCACTGGATAATAATTTTGGAACCAGATTCATCTAAATGATAGCAGCATTTTGTGAAATTTCCAATTTGCTTTTGATTATTTTAGTGGGATTGTACATTATATGCTACTTACAGTGTCAAATGGATCTTAGATATAGAAGGCATAAATAGATGATGAATTTAGGTAGTCTCTTGTGATGTACATTTGCATGTGCCAACTCAGCTTGTCACTTTTTCAGGTACCTCATGTAACTGAACCAACAGATTATATGACAGCAAATTTAGAATCTGTTTCACATCATCCCTTTCCATGGAATTAATTTGGTTTTGTCATACAATTAAAATTTGTGTTATAAGCCTGTAACTGAATTATTTAATTGGAATCAACTAAAATTAGCTTCCATGAAGGCAGAGTTTGCATATGCTCTGTGCCATATAAATTAGAAAGATTTCAGATTCGGTTTACTCAAATGGTGAGGACAACCAAGCAGTTTTCCTGTGGGCATTGAGTTAGACAATAATTGTGATAGCCCACATAGCAACACATGACATGGTCTCACACATGAAGAATACCCATTTGACTGTGCTATTAGAGGGTCATGGTACTTAAGGCACCACATCTTTCCTTCAGAAGAAAGAAGAAAACGCTGAGGAGATCCTAGCCATTCCTGCAGAATAACTGATTTACCCCTCAACAGATTAACAATTAACTGTGTAAATTTGATATATCAAATATAAAAATTCAAATATATTTGCTTGCATTGGGAATTAATAAAGACTTAATAGGATATGTGCCAAAGCAAAGTTTTATGTGGAGGAGTAAAAATTTGGGGGAAGTTAGCATCTTACTCTAGAAATTCCCCACACATGTAATTTGTATAACTTTTATACCAGCATGACGGAAGTAGATTTTCATTGAGCTATTTCTCTGCATTAAAAATTAATGCTATGACAGATCAAAAAGAAGACTGTGTTAAGATGGGTCCAGAGGCTGAAGAACAAGTAACTTGTTTAGAGGTAGGTCATATTTTCCATTTTTCACTTTCAGAGTGTGTACATTAAAAGTGAAATAACATGGAAAATTGCACAGCAGATCAGTCAAATCTGTAAAAAGAAATGACAAGTTCTAGAGTCATAGGGCCATATAGCATGGAAACAGACCCTTCAGTCCAACTAGTCCATGCCGACCATGTTTCTAAACTGGCCCCACCTATCTGCGTTTGGTCCATATCCCTCTGAACCGTTCCTATTCATATACTATCCAGGTGCCTTTTAAGTGTTCTAATTGTACCCACTTCTGCCACTTCCTCTGGCAGCTCATTCCATACAGGCGCCACCCTCTGCGTGATAAAGTTACCCCTCAGGTCCTTTTGAAATCCTTCCCCTCTCACCTCAAACCTATGCCCTCTAGTTTTGGACATCCCCAGCCTGGGGAAAAGACCTTGGCTATTCACTCTAACCATGCCCCTCATGATTGTGTAAATCTCTACAACGTCACCCCTCAGGCTCCGACACTGCAGGGAAAAAAGCCCCAGCCATTACAGCCTCTCCCTATAATGCAAATTCTCCATTCCCAGCAACAAGTTTCCAGATATTTTCTACACCTTCCCAAGTTTAACGTTGTCCTTCCTATAAAAAGGGCGACCAGAATTGCATGCAGTATTCTAAAAGTGGCCTCACCAATCTTCTGTACAGCCACGACATAAACTCCCAACTCCTGTACTTGATACTCTGACCAATGAAGGCAAGCATGCCAAATGCTGTCTTCAACACCCTGTCCACCTGCAACTCCACTTTCAAGGAACTGTACACCAGGGTTTATCTTTTTTTCATAAGTCCTGTTGCGTTTGCTGAGTTACTGACTATTCCTCCTCTCCATCACAAAATTTGTTTTTAGTAGCTACATGAGGTTGCCTTTCTGTTTTCCTGAAGTTTATTATAAAACCTCAACTAAGCCTCTATGACATCCAGACCTGAGTAATTCAGTTCTGTACTGGTACTGGTAGCCTTCTAACCCCCACCCCCACTTCAGAACTTCAACTCGCCCAAACCTGTCCAAATACTTTGGTACCATTTACTCATCATCTCTATGCTTGGAGATGCACTTCCATTCCATGTGCATTTTAAAATTCTCATCCACATGGAATGGAAGTGCATTTTTCATGGCATCATGTGTCCTACCTCAGAAACTACCTCTGGGTCTATAGCCTTCCAAAGAATTTTCTGTCCTTCCAACTCTGGTCTCTTGTGCATGCCCACTTTTCCACACTTGATGGTTGGACCTTCATCATTTGACACTGTGCTTTGTGGAATTTCCTCTCTGCCTAGTCCCTTCCTTCCCTTCTTCAAAGACATTCCCAAAAATCCATTGTTTTGACCATACTTTCAGATCCCCACAGTATTATTTTCTAATTTTTAGCAGTATCAGTTTTTTTTTCTGATTCTGCTTCTGTGGTGTGCCATGGGCTGTTTTACTAATCTAAAAGTGTTATTTAATTCCAAGCTACTGTTGTACTAGAGTCCACAGTTTAGTAGTTTCCAGTTTGTTGTATGCCTGTATTATTATTTGATATGCAATCTACTTTAATTCATAAAATATGTATCGAATTGAAAGACTTATTTTTGCATTCAAAATATTTAAACCCTGTTCTTAAATAAAAAAGGAAGCAAACTTATTCATTCTGACATGATGCATCCTGTTAGGTGAAGAGTGACTATGTTGAAGAACCATCCAGAAATAATTCATTAGACATAATCAAGAAGCTTGGCTTCTTCCAATCAATGAGTACGGATGAAAAGATTAAGCAATTCCAAATGTTTCTCACAACTGCCCTGATAAACGATCTGGTGAGTATTAATCTACTACAAAAAAAATTGCTGGGATTTTACTTTATATGGTCCTGCGCAGCAGACAAAAAATGAGTCATGTATAATGAAATGAATGTGAAAGTTTTGTTGTTGATAATCCAAATATGCTGCTTTGTCATAGTAATGTTTTTTGAACCTGCTATTGCGCGATAGTTGCATTCCAACGCAACATCATGTTATAGAAAATTGTGCTATATAAATAACTGGGCCTATGGGAAAAGCAGGATTAGGAGCACAAAGGATACATAACAATTATATTTTCCAAAATTCTTCCTCACCTGTGTAGCTTCATTTTTATAGTTGCAATATATAAAAACAGTTTATCAGACAGGTAATGCTGCAAAGAGGCAATACATTTATGAATCTGACCTTGCATTTGCAATAAAGTGACAGGTGGGCTTTGAATAGAGTTTGGTCACTGGAAATCCCAGCAATGGTTAATACCGCATGATAGTGCGAGCATGATCCAAAAGAGGTGAACAGTGTAAAATTGTGTGAGATAGAGCTCATAGCCAGCAACCCTCTGTGAAATTCCCCCAAAATTGACACATTGGCAATTTTTAGTAAAATTCCCTCTTCCATTTAAATGCTGATCTGACCTGACATTCCATCTGCACATACTTCTGGATAGATTATTGGATAAGTGAACCAGGGGAATCTGACCTTTCTTTCCTGAGTAGCCCATTGGCATTGAAGTTAATTGTAGGATTAAAATGCGTAGTGAACCTGAGTAACATTGTATTCAAAACAGTGCTAGAAAAGAGCAGGTTGTAACAGACAACTTTTGATATAAAAGATTTACATTAGCAAGTTCAAAAATTCTTACATGTTAAATATGTAACAAAATCTCGGAAAAAACACTACAAAGGTGCATGTTTTAACAGCACTTATTATTGTAAACTATATTTCATTTTTTACTTATACCAATATTTTAGCATTGGAGTTCATTCTTATATTTAAATGAGCTGCATTTTTAAATAATGCTGATGCATTTAATGTGTTTGGCATAAACTCTTCAAACTAAGACTTCACATATTTTCTTAATAAGACAGTTGTTCTCTGTGTGATGTTATATTTGAGGTTTATGACATACAATCCATACTCGATGGAATCGCATTATAGCCAATACAAGTTCGTGTTTGCAATAACGTTCCCCTATTTGTCAATCGTGTTATAGCCAATTTGCATTGCCGGAACATGTGTTATAGGAGAACCCCCTGCACACTGCCTCCTCACAGCGCCAGGGACCTGAGTTCAGTTCAACCCTTGGGTGACTGTCTGAGTAGAATTTGCACATGCTGTGTGTGTCTGCATGGGTTTCCTCCAGGTGCTCCAGTTTCCTCCCACAGTCCAAAGATGTGCACATTAGATGGATTGCCATGCTTATTTCTTTGTTCTTTGTTCTTTGTAATTGCCCATAGTGTGCAGGAATGTGCAGGCCAGGTGGGTTAGCCATGGAAATGCAAGGTTACAACGATAGGGTAGGGAGGGTGGGTGGGACGTTCTTCGCAGAGTCGGTGTAGATTTGATGGGCCGAATGGCCTACTTACACACAATAGGAATTCTATGATTCTATAGAGTAAGGCCTATAAAAATAAATGCCAAGCAATGGAACTTCTTACAAAAGGAACTGCAACCTTTGCAGAAATGAGATTTCCCCCCCTCCACTCTTTACATGTTAAATACGTAACTGGGGCAAAACTTAAGAATTTTAGAACTTTTGACTAGATTTTTAGAAATCGAGAGATGGGACTTTCTTGTGTCTAAAAGCTGCCAGCAAGCTGGGATCTTCTAAGCAGAAATGGAGGCAGATTAAAGGCCAGGTCACACTAAAGGCTTGCCTCCATTTCCAAAAGGTCTTGACCTGGTTTTGGTATCTAATGTATAGTTGAACTGTCTCCTGGCTTTACATACCCCTTCATCACCTTTGCTCTCAATCCCCTCCCTCATCCCCTTACCAATTATCTGCTCCTTGAACTTTCAGGCCATATTATAATAAAATGAAACAGATGAATAGCCCATAAAACTCTTTTTCAGTGAACAAACTCTTCAAACCAGCTCTGTAAACAATCTTGAGCACTTGTGAACTGATTAGTCAGTCGGAATACAGTAGAGAGTCCCTAAAACCCCTTAGTAAACAAACAGACTTCAGAACAACAATCTTACAGGTGTCAAGATTGAACATGTAGATGAAATGAGAAAAGATTAAATATTTTCACTTCGATATTATACTAGGCTACCTTTTTAATAATATAAAATGGACTCTGTCCTTCTATCCATTTGTTGAACTTCAAATATTGAAGAATGATTATACTTAGAATATTAATCTTTATTTGTCAGTTTCCAGTTGGCAGAAATAATAATCAGGCAAAGGGTAGTTCCATCTTCCAATCCCAGCATTGACATAACTGCCCTTATTGAATGCAGAACCTGTCCTAAAGCAATTAATGATGAACTGTAAAGGTTGCACAATCATTTTTTTTATATTTAAAACTCTTGCTGCCTGAATCTATTTTTCATGCCTCCAGACAGCTGGTGTAAAACTCAATAGTTGCTAAAGTCAAGCTACCTCCAGGAATATTAGAAATCATACCTCCAGTTCACAGGAGCAGGTTACTTCTGGAGCCCACTCTTTCCCCTACCCTTGTGTAAATGGCTAAGGAGGAGGGATTGGAGGTAGGACAGTTGACATCCTAGGTCAGCCATTTTGTTTCTATTTCCACCTCCATCTACATTTGTACAATTGGCTGTTTAAGTCAGTTGGGAAAGTTATGTCAGTGATTATTATTTGTTCTAAATATATTGCTTTAACATCAATGTGCGTATTTATATGTAAGTATTGTGAATATGTAACAATCTATGGAGTTTAATAAAATCTTTTGTCAACTTACTTTTGCCAACAGGAACAGGAATATTAATAAACATGAGCAGCAATTCTGACCTTGTGTATGCTATTTCAGAGAGCACCCTTTTCCCCTGCTTCATTACACGACAACCCCTTTGTCAAAAAAAGCAAATTTCCTAAATTTGGTGAATGCACCATATGGGGACAAGAACCATACATAACAGGAATATGCTAGGGTTCATCCTTATTTCATACTCAGCGAGTAGAATGCTTCAATTGAAGACAATACTGTTTAATTAGCAGCAGAGAGTAAAGAAAAACAAATTCAAATTCTTCCTACTGATCACATGTGCTGAAAGAGTACTTAAATATTGGGTGAAGGCAGGATAATACCAACACTGATCAAATAGCTTCCAGGTTTGCACACCACCTGCATTGATAGTTGTTTCTAGGAGAACATCCAGGTTTGCAGTTACTCAAGAATACTGAGTACTGGAGAAAACTAGTTCCTTTTGAGGTACTTTTTTTTTTCCATGAAACTAATAATAGGAGGAGTTTGATAGCTGTGTCTCAGTCTTTCCCCTCTTTTCCATCATAATCAGAAGAATGTGGGTTCATATCTCAATACAGAAACTTTAGCATATAGGTTGACACTATAGATATGTTCTGAGGGAGTACTATATTTTCAGAGATGCTGTATCTTGGATATGACTGAGACCCTGGGTACTCTCGCGGGTGGATTGTAAAGATGAGTGGAGGATTTTTTTCCCTATGTTTCTAGTCCAACATTTATCCCTAAAGTAGATTAATTGGTCAATATCCCATTGTTGCATGTAGAAACTTGCTGTGCACAAATGGGTTGCAGAGTTTTCAACAATACAATTGTAAATATACCTAGAAAATATTTTATTGGCTGTAAAACTGTTTGAGTATCCAGCAGTTGTATAATGTACGACATAAATATTTAGTTTTTGTGGAAGTTCATAGAATAGCAGTCCTTCTAGAGATTTAATTCTGTTTTTCTGTGTTTCTTGCTTTTAGGTACGCCAGCTGAGTGAAGTGCAGTATCTGTTTCTATTACACTACTTTGTTATGGCTCTTTGTTCTAGGGGCCAAGCACAGGTTTGTTTTCTTCTTCCCATTTGTATTTTAAAAATTTGTTTGAAACAAATATGACTTCGGTACATTCTGTATATGTGCAGCCTCCATATGGGAAGCCTGACATACACGTACGTTCTGCAGATCTCCCAAATTCTTTGAATATTTGCATCTCCAGCATCATCTCCAGGACTAGGTCATGGGTGACAAGGGGTACCTTGGAAAACTTGAGTAATGACTCCAGTGTAGAACACTGGGATGGCACGGTGTCACAGTGGTTAGCGCTGCTGTCTCACAGCACCAGGGACCCAGGTTCGATTCTACCCTCCAGCGACTGTGTGGAGTATGCAAGCTCTCCTTGTGAGCATGGATTTCCTCCAGGTGCTCCAATTTCCTCCCACAATTCAAAGATATGCAGGTTAGGTGGATTGGCCATGCTAAATTGCCCATCGTGTCCAGGAATGTGTAGGCTAGATGGATTAGCCATAGGAAATGCATGGTTACAGGGATACGGCAAGGGGGTGTGTCTGAGTCAGATGGTCTTCGGAGGGTCGGTGTTAATTTGATGGGCCAAATGGCCTAATTCCACACTGTAGGAATTTTATGATTCAATAAAAACTTTTAGACTGACGGTAAACAGCACCACAATGCAACACACGTGTGGGCCACTTTTGAACAGAAAATCTGAAGATGTACTTCTGTTGCGTGGACTGCTCAGGAGGGGCACTACAGTGCTTGCCAGGTTTCCAGAATAATGATTGTTTGCTGGGCATTGCACATCCTAGCTCAACAATAAGTTAAGAGCATTGATGAGCGGGAGATGGAGCAGTCAACTGTCTCCTCAGATGAGGAAGAAGGTTAAGGTGACTTAGATGCTGAGGGAATGAACACCAATGCTGAGGATACTAAGCATGCCAGGGCAGCAATAAAATGCAGCTGAAAGGCCCAGAGAACCTGATAGAGGCTAAATTTGAGAACCAATAACTTTGCAAGAAAATCTGTGGACATGCAGAACTAATAGCCAGTTATGTCTACTGCTTCAAGGAAATATTTGTTTTATAATGGGAAACTTCATGTTGCTCTGTTTGCCATGCCTTGTACAGTTCTTTGTTCCCTTCGCACCAATAAAGTCTGTTGAGTTTGAAGGCCAGAGCATCAGGATTGAGTTCTATGGCTTTACATGTATGCCAAGCATGTAATATGTTGACCTTTGTTTGCACCGACCTTTACTGGTTCTCAAATTTAGCCTCTATCAGGTTCACTGGGCCTTTCAGTTGCATCTTACCATTGCCCTGGCTTGCTCATCATCCTCACTTATTACAGAGATGTGCAGGAACCACACATGTTGACTGACTCACACAACCCAACCTTGTAGCTTATATTCTCACTTCCCAGAGAGTTTGCTGCAAGCTGTGCATGAGAGCATCGGTGTTCTTCGCAATGCCGCACCTGATGTGTATGTGAGCATTGATGTTATGGCAAAACTGTAGGAGGTATGAATGGATTGCATGAGATGACAAGAATGTAGAACACTGCGGGGCATTTATTTTCATGGAAGTATTTTACAAAAGGTTCACAGTCATGCATTCAGAGTAACTTTGTACTTTCATCTTTCACTTCCTACTACCTGGCACCTGGGATGTCTGGTCGGTGCGGATGAGTTGGACTGAAGAGTCTGTTTCCGTGCTGTATGACTCTATGATTCTGCCAGACCTTCCACCACTTCCTCTGCATCTCTGTCAGAAAACCCAGAGATTCATCATGTGTAGGCTCAGCAAGGTCCTATCCTCCTATTAGTCCAACAAATGTTAGAGACCTTGGCCACTTCTTCCACCTCTTTATTGACCAGAGTGTGACTCCTTTGTCTACTGCACATAGTTAATCACCAAGGTGAAATGATGTGGAGGTGCCGGTGTTGGACTGGGGTGGACAGGGTCAGAAATCACACGACGTCAGGTTATAGTCCAACAGGTTTATTTGAAAACACAAGCTTTTGGAGTATTATTCCTTCTTCAGGTATTAGTCACCTGAAAAAGGAGTGTGACTGCAAAAGCTTGTGTTTTCAAATAAACCTGTTGGACTAAAACCTGGTGTCATATGATTTCTGACCGAGGTGAAAGGTTTTGTTTTGATGGAGGGTGAGTTTGAATGCCTTGATGGTACTTCCTTTAAGAGTAGCAGTTGCAGTTCTTCAGAGTTGTGCTGGCTGGGGCTGGAAAAGATGCTACAGAATGCGGCTGTTCGTTATTTCACTGGTCTGTGATTGTGATTCAGATGCTGCAGAGAAAAGCCTGGATGTGTTCGATCCTTACCAATGATCGCATTAAAATCTTGGTGCTTGATGTGCAAATGTGAGCAGATGCTTCTAAACTGGCTGGGCATATCCAATCTCACCTGCCAAGCAAAGCAGACTGCTCCTCAAATGTTCCAGAGTTCAGGCATACCACCCTCTATAACGCCATAAAATGTAGAGGCAGAAATAGTCTGTTCAGCCTATTGAGTCTGCTCCGCCAGTCAGTGGGATCATGGCTGATCTGATAATCCTCAATTTCAGTCTGTCTTTTGCTCTATAACCTCTGTTCCCTTACTGATTAAAAATGTAACTACCTCATCCTTGATTATACTTACCAATCAAAACTTGAAAGCCCTCTGCAGGTAAGGAATTCCACAGATCAACTACACTCTGAGAGAAAAAAAACCTCTTTATCACTGTTTAACTGAGCAATCCATTACTCTGAGATAATGCTCTCTGGTCCTAGGCATTCTGACAAGAGAAACAATTTCTCTACATTTACCTTGTCAAGCCCCCAATAATCATACATGTTTCCGTAAGCTCTCCTGTCATTCTTCTAAGCTGCAACGAGGACAAGCTCATCCTAACCCATCTTGACATGCTGTCTAGTTGCGTTAGAACTTCTCTTTCAGAAGTGGAAATGTCCGTCTTCTCTCCACCTATCTGCTCCACTGTCCACCTTCTGTCACTGCCTCCCCCTCTCTCTATTTATTTCAGTGGAGGCTCGGAGACCACATTGTGGAACACCTACGCTCGGTTTGCGACAAACAACAATACCTCCCAATCGTGAGCCACTTCAACTCCCCCTCCCACTCCCTGGACAACATGTCCATCCTGGGCCTCCTCCAGTGTCACAACGATGTCACCCGAAAACTGGAGGAACAGCACCTCGCATTCCGCCTTGGAACCCTACAACCCAATGGTCTCAATGTGGTCTTTACAAACCTCAAAATCTCCCCACCCCTGACCTCATCCCAAGACCAGCTCCCCACCTCTCGTCCCTGCCTCCTTTGACCTGTCTATCTTCCCTCCCACCTACCTGCCCCTCCCTCCTCACTGACCAACCCCCATCCCAACTTCATCCCCGCCTCTTTGACCTGTCCGTCTTCTCTCCACCTATCTGCTCCACTATCCACCTTCTATCACTGCCTCCCCCTCTCTCTATTTATTTCAGAGCTCCCTTCCCCTCCCCCATTTCTGAAGAAGGGTCCAGATCCGAAACGTCAGCTTTCCTGCTCCTCTGATGCTGCCTGGCCTGCTGTGTTCATCCATCTCCACATCTTGTAATCTCAGACTCCAGCATCAGCAGTTCCTACTATCTCTGAGATAAGTACTGTAGTTTGCTTCCCTAAAGGACATTCGTGAACCCCAGATGGGTTTTAGCTGACAATCAACATTGTTTTCATGGTCATTATCAGACTCCTAATTCCAGATGGTGTTTGTTGAATTCAAATTCCACCATCTGCCATGACATCATTCAAACTCCTCCCCAGAACATTATATGGGTGTCGGGATTAACAGACTCGCGATAATGCCACTGGGCTGTCACTAGCAGAATAATGTGGAAGCATTGGAGAGGGTACAGAAAAGGATTACTAGGATGTCCCCTGGTTTGGAGGGTATTAGCTATGAGAGATTGGACAAACATGGTTTGCTTTTACTTGTACAAGTTTACAAAATTGTGACAGGCAAGGATAGAACGAGTAGTCAAAGTTTTTTTCCCAGGGTAAAAATGTCAGTTATTAGGGAGCATAGTAAAAGGTGGAAGTTTAAAGGAGATGTGAGAGGCAAGGTTTTCTACACAGATGGTGGTAAATGCCTGAAATGCACTGCCAGAGGAGCTGGTACAAGCGGATGCAATAGCAACGTTTAAGAAGCAACTTGACAGAAACATGAATAGACAGGGAAGAGAGGAATATGGGCCGTGTAGAGGCAAAAGGTTTTTAGTTTAGAAAGGCATAATGTGTCAGCACAGGCTTAGTAGACTGAAGGGCCTGTTCTTTATTCTTTGTGTACCAGTAAGGTTCTCAGCAACATCAGACATCATGGGCTATGCAGTCACAGGTCTTATGATGTGAAGAGCCAGCTCACCACAATGATGCAAGTATTCTCTGAGTTCTGCACTGCACACCCTCCATTGTGTGCCAGTTTTCTTTCTGCAAGAAAAAGGGAAGAATTTCAGTGATTAAACTGCACTATGTTTAGATTATTTGCATGCCACAGCTAAACTGTGGGAAGCATGTAGAGGCAGTGAGAGGTAGGTGTGAGGTTGGCAGCATTGGAAGATAAATGTGGGATAGGTGCAGTATATGGATGATGGATGTGTAGGTCCGGAGTGCCAGGGATGGTGATGGCTGAGTGGAGGAGATGTGGTACATTGAGCAGCAGGAGATGCTTGAAGCAAGTGGTAGGAAATGTCAAATGAAGATGTTTTAACTGATGCTGATCATCTATTTGGGGTCATTAAAGCTCAGACACTGAGGAATGGTCACCAATTTCATCTGAATGTTGATTCGTGAGGACCTCTTGTACACCACTGCCCATGCCTAACCCCAGCATTAAAAATGTCTGCGGCCCACCTCTGTTAGAGCAAGTGCTGGAAAGTTATATTGCTCCCATTTATCAGCATTATCCAATTTTTCACCAGGGGTCTTTAAGATTTTGAGTTGCGTATGCTTTGCAGCCATTTTATAGTTTTTTTTCTCTCTCTGTAGGATCTATCTGAAGCTGAAAAACAGATTATGGCAATTAAGAAAATGACAAAGGAGACCCCAGAATGTCAAAGTTTTGTGTATGTCGCGTATCACACGTTTGGCTGTTTATACTTCAAGCAAAATAGGTAAGGAATCTGATACGGAAGTTGGGTATTAAAGAAAGCAATAACACATACAGGAATATACCTGCATTTGGAAACAAGCATTGCAATCATCTGAATGCTGGCTATTTTCAAAATTCTACAGACTCTGAAATGGTCCCAATAGATTAGAAGATGATAAATATAACGACACTATTTTAGAAAATAAGAAAAGTGAAAATGGGGAACTATAGGCCTATCAGCCTAACATCAGTCACAGGGAAAATGGTAGAAACTATAATTAAAGTTGAGATAACAGGGCTGATGATTACCATAAAAAGCCATCTGGATCAGTGAGGGTGACACAAAGAGTCTTCAGAGGGGTGTATACAGGTTGAGTGAGTGGGCAAAAACTTGGCAATTGAATGTAATGTGGGAAAATGTGATATTGTGCACCTTGACAGGAAGGATATATGAGTTCAGTATTATCAGAGGTTTTCATGCATGAATCGCCAAACCTGCACCCAATGGCTGCAAATAATAGAGAAGGCAACTGGACTGTTGGCCTTTATTTCAAAAGGAATGGAGTATAAAACTCTTCTAAAAAATGAAAACAAAATATATTGCTAAAAGTATACAAGGCCACACCTGGAAGACTGTGAACAATTTTGATGCTAAGGAAAGATCTATTTTATGTATATATATTATATATATATCTGAATCATGGATTTATGTATACTTATGTAAGGGAAGATGTATTGTCATTGGCAATGATAGAGAAAGTACACTAGGTTGATCCAGGGTATAGAGGGATTTCTTTATGAGGAGAGGTTGAGTAAATTGACCTTGTACTTACTGGAGTCTGAAAGAATAAGGGGAAACCTTAGTGAAACAAATAAGGTTCTGAGAGAGCTTGATAGCGTGGATGCAGAGAGGTTGTTTTCCCTTGAGGAAGGTCTTGAACCAGAGGGCATAATCTCAGAGTAAGGAATCATCTGTTTAAGTCAGACATGGATGACTTTTCCCTGTGGGTAGCGAATCTATGAATCTTTTACCTACAGAGTGCTGTAGAAGCTGAGTCATCAAGTGTACTTGAGGCTAAGGTAGACAGATTTTTAATCAGTAAATGAATCAAAAGTTATGGGGACAGGGCAGTAAAGTAGAGTGGAGGATTAACAGGTCGGCAATGACCTCATTGAATGGCAGAGCAGACTCAATGGGCTGAATGGCCTGCTTCTGCACCAAAGTCTCCTTTGGTCTTAATAAAAGATTCAAGTATTTTCCTTGTGACAAATCTTAAACACCATGGCTTTAGTTCAAAATTGCAATGACCTTTCAGATTTTACATAACTTAAATTGTACAGACTTTTTAGCATTTTGATTATGTTTTTACTACTTTCCTCATTTCTCTAAGCTTATTAGTAGTGATCTAAGATTCAAAACTTATTTTGCAGATTTGAAGAGGCTATGAAATGGTTTCAGAATTCAAAGCAAGAATTTCAGGATAACCCTCCAACTATAGAATGGACTGATGTGGTGCTAAAAGCAGAAGAGATTGAACCAAAACATTTTGTAGTAAGTGTTTTTAAAAACAAAAATCATTCGTGGAATGCATTTCACTGGCAAGGTCAGCATTTAATTGAACAATAATCTCCCTTGAAAAACTATTGAGCAGTCTTTCCTAAATGATGTGCCAGTGCTGTTAGGAAGATAGTTCCAGGATTTTGACATCTGTAGAAGACAGAGTTAGGATGATGTGCAATTTAGATGGGAACATGTAGGTTGTGGTGTTCCCTTGTGTCTACTGCAATAGTTTTTGTTTTAGTTGGTAGAAGTATTTTCTTTGGAAGGAATGGTAGAAGTATTTTGTTCAGAAGGAATGGTTGAAGGTGGCTTAGCATATTTCTGTAGTGCATCTTGTACACACCGCAGCCACGGTGTCCAGGTTGCGGAGGAGATGACTGTTTGTTTAAATTGGTGAGTGGGGTTCTGATCAAGTATGCTGATTAGTTCTGGAAGATGTCAACTTTCTGCTGGAGTTGTAATCATCCAGGCATGAGCAGAGTATTCCATCACATCCTCATGGATAAAGGGTAGGTTTTCAGCAGGTGAGGTACTTCCTACAAATATAATCTTCTGACTCATAGCCACAGTACTTGTGTGACTAGTAAAATTATTTTCTAATTGATGATAATCCCGCAGGCTGTAGATGGTGAGGATTAAGTGATGATAATATTGATGGATGCTGAGGGTATGTGGGTTAGAATCTGTCTTATTGGATATGGTCATTGCTGGGCAAATTTTGTTTGTTTGTTATCAACCCAAACCTGAATGTGTCTAGAGTTTTCTACATATAGACGTGGATTGTTATAGTTACTGAGCAATAATGAATTTTACGGAACGTTGAATCATGAGTTAACATTATCATCAGATTCATTTAAGAGAGAAGGCCAATGATGAGGTATCTAAAAATGGTTGGTTCGAAGAAATTGCCCTTAGGACATCTGCAGCAAGGTTTTGGAGCTGAGATAATTGACCTCCACCAACAACCAAAACCTTTGTATGACATATGACTCTAACCAAAGAAGAATGTTCTCCTTAATTCCCATTGACTTCAGTTTTGCCACACCCTGTGAAATACTGCTTTGATGTCAAGGGTAGTCACTCTCACCTCACTTTTTCAGTTCAGCTTTTTTTTTAGTGTTTGGATTCAGATTGTAATGAAGTCTGGAGCTAAGTGATCCTGATGGAACTCCAAATGAGATGGTATGCAGAGCAATACAGGTTATTGCTCTGCAAGTGCTGCTTGATAGTGGTATCAATGAGTTCATCCGTCTGTTTACTGATGGTTGAGAGTAGATTGATGGGACGGTAATTGGGCAGATTGCATAGGATATGCCTGGGTGATTTTCTGTGTTGTTGGGTGGATACAACTGCTATAGCCATAGTGGGACAACTTGGTTGTGGTTAGTTTTTGATCATAAGTCTTCAGTACAGCAGCCAAGATGTTGTCCAGTCTGTATCCAGTGCTTTCAGTTGCTTCTTTTTATTGTGTGGATGAATTAAATTAGCTGAAGTTTGACATTTATAATGGTTGAGACTGCAGGAAGATGCTGAGATGGATCATGTGCTTAGCATTTGAGTGAAAATGGTTGCAGATGCTTCAGTTCTGCCTTTTGCATTGATGTGCTAGATATCCCCATCATTGAAGATGGGAATGTTTATGGAGCCTTTTCCTCTGCAGAGTTGTTTAATTGTCCACCAGCATTTACAACTGAATGCGGATGGAGTGCAGATCTGCCTTAATCTTAAATTTCCTTTTCAGAAGGGCATTAGTGAACTAGAAGGATTTTTATAACAATTCAGTAGCTTTGCGATCATTATTATTGAGACTAGATTTCTTATTCCAGCTGCTGTAGTGAGATTTGAACACATGTTTCTATAGCACTAGTCTGGGCATCTGACATCTAGTCATATTATTATTAACACCATGCTGCAGTTCCAGGGTTCTGTCCAGCATTTATCCCTATATCAATAAAATATAAACCAATTTTTTTTTTCATTATCACATTATTCTTTGTTGGAGCTTGCCGTGCATACACTAGCTACCACGTTTTCTACAGTTGATTATACCTGGACTTTATTGGCTGTAAATTGCTTTTAGATCACCCCTAATCATGAAATTTTCCATAGTAATGGGTTTTTTTTTTGTTTTGAGGCAACTCTATTTCTGTCAAACAAAAATTACCATTTGAAGAATCATTGTTCAGCAAAGATTCATAGTTAGTAATCGTGGAGGTGAGGTGGGTTAGAAGTTGTCTCCCAAAACTTTGCCTTCTGTTTATAGCATTATAAATATCATTGTTACATGTGATCCATAGCTGCAGTTGTGCAGAAAGGCAACTCAACCAATTTCACTTTGATTTATTTTATAGTGATGCCCCTAATGACCTAAAATTGTGACTGGAAAATGATTTAGAATCAGAAAGTATGCATCTTCTCATCCATGCAAAAGCCATGCTCACTACCAACTTTTGCTATTGGGTATTTTCAGTGAAATTAGTTTAGATGGTATATAACCTGGTTTGTGAGTCAGTGCTGAATTTGAAATCGACAAATGTTGCATTTGTTATGACTATGTGAGAAGGGGTGAACTGGCTTCCATCTGTTTACCCTTCCCAGTTGTTAACAATTAAGGTTTAATTTCTTTTGTCTGAAGCTATTCCTCTCCTGAGTTTAAAAACACAATTAACTATTTTTACTGTGAGGGAAAAAAAGTCAATTCTAATCTCAGAAAAGTCTGCAGGTGGCTTTTTTGAAAAGTAACTGCTGAAACTTTTCTACTTTCCATCCCCCCCTATAAATTTTGCAGTTTTTCAAGTGCCCTGTAACCATTTATTTGCTGCTACCTATTTGGCCCTGATGCCATCTTGCCATGGTCTGGTTTTTGGATAAGGAGAAACTTTTTTTAACGTTCTTTTGTAAGATGTGAGCATCACCTGGGCTAGCAAGGTTTTCTTGAGTCAAAGAAAGAACAAATTAATTAATCATTAAACCCAAAGAGGTGAGAGAAAAATACAGCATCAAGCATACAGTCTCACACAGTCACTTCGGTACATGCACACTCATATTCAAAGTTAAAGGGAAATACCAGACAACACAAAAGAAAGTAGAAGAATATATGACTTTGTCTGACATAGATGTCTGTGGCATAGAAAAAGGCCCTTCAACCCACGAGTCTGTAGCCAAAAGCAACCACCTAACTATTCTAATCCTACTTCCCAGGACTTGGCCCAAAGTCTTTTTTTATTTGCTAATGGGATGTGGGCATCACTCAAGGGCAGCATTTATTGCCCATCCTTTATTGCGGCCTAACCAATGTTTTATACAGTCCAGCATTACCTCCCTGCTCTTACATTCTATGCCTCGGCTAACAAAAGCAAGCATCCTACATGCCTTCTTAGCCACTTTATCCACCTCTCCTGTTACCATAAAGGACTGGTGGACATGCACACCAAGATCTCTCTGATCCTCGCTGCTTCCCAGGAAGCATCATGTATTCCCTTCCCTTGTCTGCCAAGGTGCATTACCTCACATTTATCTGGATTGAAGTCCATTTGCCACTGATCAGCCCATCTGACCAACCCACTATATCCTTCTACAGTCCAAGGCTATCCTCAAATACCACCCAACCAATTTTCATATCATCCACAAACTTACTGATCAGCCTTTCTACATGCATGTCGAAATCCTTTGAATAAACTACACACAGCAAGGGCACCAACACGGAGCCCTGTTTTTGCGTGAAGTTTTAACTTGAGGCAGATGTTGATTAGCTTGTTTCCTGGATGTAGTTGGTCATAGTGAATCTTGCAGCTGTAGAAAACTCTTGGTCCTTTGATGGATTTTCGCTTTGGCTATTTCTGTGGGAAGTTGGTGTCAACTTATTGAAAGAGAGAAAAATAGAGATGGCAGCTTCTGTTCAATTATCTGCTAGAAATGCTGTTAGAGCCTCCTTTGAAATCCCAGTTCCAGTGTGTATTTCCAAGAAGTTATTTGGGTTGGTTGGTCTGTGCCAGTCATTGTATCAATGCCCCATATTTTACATTTATTAATGCCTAATTGAGGCCAGTGATAGTTTCAGGGTGTGTCTGGAAATCTTTCCTTTTGCACTTCCCTGTGTATGATTTATTTGTTTTTTCTCATCTAGAAGGTAGCCTTGCATGTTCAAGCAGTTTGTCTTGTCTCAGTTCAATTTGCTACAGTTCCAACCAGTTGAAAGTTTTAAAATTCATATCTTCAAGCCTTGTGACACTATAAAACTTACAAAATGTTAAAGGAAGCAGATTGGCTTCATCTGAAAGTGCCTCAGTTAGTACTCTTTTTGCTTTGGAACCAGACCACTTGACTGGAGTTAATATCCTAACCCAAATCTGTCTGAGATATTTAATTATTTAGAACCAGTAACTCTCATTTTATTTTTGTTTGCTCAAAATAACGTGAAACTTTTTTCATCCTATAGATCAAAATAAATGAATATATTGAAATGTGTAAACATGCTCCTAATCCTGTAGCCATCTGCCAAGATGCAAATTGTTATGGATATTACAAAAGGGAAATCTATCCATCTGACCCGGATTACAAGGTATGTCTTTATAAGAAAATCCAAATTGCTTTCCAATTGTATTAAAGGTTGGAGTATTTCTCATATGCAGAATACTTGCATGTAATAATTTATTCTAAAATGGTTCTCTGACACAAGTTATCATTTGAGTTTAACTTGTTGGAAAATGTGTTGCCAGATGACCCACTAACCTCGTTGAAGTTATAATGTAATCATATTTCTAATTATATTTATCAGTGTAAGAAGGGGAACTCCATATAAATAAACATATGGAACTTAAAAGCTGCTTGGATAGAACTTATAAGAAATAACAATATATTTCATGTATAAATGAACGTTTTCAATTAAAAAAAATTGGATTGAGATCTATTGTGCTGAATGTCAGCCTATTTCCATTTGTTCTAATTTTCTAGGCAGGATTTTAATTGGTTCAGGAAGCATCTCTCTGCTTATTAATGTTAATGAATGCGTGCTATTGTAATTCAACTTTTTTCTTGCTTTTACACTGCTTTTCTTTCCTGCTCATTTAACCTGAATCTTGAGGGTTGCTCAGTGCTGATCTTGGAACTGAATTTGCTTTAAAGTGTGCAGGTGGTGTTTTTCCGAAATAATTCATTTTCTTTCCTGCTTTCTATCTACCCACAATGAGTTTTGCTGTTTTTCAAGAGTCCTGTAACTGTTTCTTTGCTGCCATTTTATTTGGGCCCAATGTCACCTCACCATGTCCTGGTTTTTGAGTGCGAAGAAACTGCTTTTTAAAATCTATCGTGAGATGTGAGTATCTTGTTGCCAATCCCTATTTGGCCTTGAGAGGGGATGAGCGGGATGAGCGAGTTGAGCAAGCATCAGCTTCTCAAGATACACCAGCAGACATACATCAGTTTTTTTTTGAAGAAAGGCTACTTATCCAAGAGGCATCAGGATCTGGAGTCAAGGCAGAACAGATGGTCCTTTGGCTGTCTAGAGATCTTTTAAGCAACGTGTCAATGTCTTACTTGTTCAAGTAGGCAATGTTGTCACTAACCTGTGCAGGTAACTGAAAACAGTGCACAATTTCCATCGTGTAGTAGAATCCTTATTGTAGTTTCTTGTGCTCCATTACACGAGCACTAAGTGTATGAGTAGAAAATAATTTTATTCTCAGTGTAAAATTTCTTTGAAAACCTAGAGTATATATGTGAAAGTGACTTCTCAGTCAGTTTTCATTTTGAAGAAGTTGTCCATTGTGCCAATATCTTGCTCAAAAAGACAAATCTGAACACTATTTCTGGATGATCACTTATTGTTTGAATCATTGGCAGTTAGCAGCAGCAGTTTATGCATCTAGTTGAAAACAAGTCACTTCACAGTTTTCGCAGGTTATTGATGTGAGCTGTAAAAGCTTGTGTTTTTGTGGGGAAAAGCCCACAATTTTGCACTCTGGTTTTGTAAACCCAAGAACAGCAGAGTCTATTTATGACTTAATTTGTCTTTCCACTTGCTCTTTTCAGCCTTTATAATACCCTGCTTTACAGGCCTTTACCCTTCATTTATTAGTTTCAAAATTGTGCACAGTACACTCTTACAATCAGAGAACCATACAGCATGGAAACAGACCCTTTGTTCCAACTTGCCTGCGTGGACCAGACATTCCAATCTGAGCTAGTCCCATTTGCCAGAATTTGGCCCAAATCCCTCTAAACCCTTCCTATTCATGTACCCATCCAGATGCCTTTTCAAATGTTGAAATTGTACCCACCTCCAATACATCCTCTGCCAGCTCATTCTGTACACACACCACCCTCTGCATGAAAATGTTACCCCTCAGGTCCTTTCTAAATGTTTCTCCTCTCACCTTAAACCCATGGCTTCTAATTTGGATTTCCTCACCCCAGGAAAAAGACCTTGGCTGTTCACTTTATCCATGCCCCTCATGATTTTATAAACCTCTGTACGGTCATCCCTCAGCCTCTGATGCTCCAGAGGAAGAAAGCCCCAGCCTATTCAGCTTCTCCCTATAACTCAAACCCTCCAGTCCCAGCAACATCCTTGTAAATCTTTTCTGCACCCTTTCAAGTTTAACAACATCCTTTCTATAGAAGATGACCAGAATTGTATTCAGTATTCTAAAAGTGGCCTCATCGATGTCCTGTTCCAGCACAATGTCAGATTCCAACTCCTGTACTCAATGTTCTGACTAATGAAGCCAAGCATGCCAACTACCTTCTTTACCACCTGTCTGCTTGCGACTCCAATTTCAAGGAACCAGGCACCTGCATCCTAGGTCTGTTTGTTCAGCAACACTCCCCAGGGTCCATTTATTATCTGTATAAGTTCTGCCCTGATTTGCCTTATCAAAATGCAACACCTCACATTTATCTAAATTAAACTCCATCTGCCACTCCAATGCCCATTGGCCCATCTGATCAATGTCCTGTTGTACTATGAGGTAACCTTCTTAACTGTCCACGACACCACCTATTTTTGTGTCATCTGCAAACATACTAACCATGCCTCCTATATTCACATCCAAATCATTTATATAAATTACAAAGAGAAGTTGACTTAACACACTGCTGATCACAGGCCTCCAGTCCGAAAAGCAACTGTCTACACCTCCCTCTGCCTCTTACCTTCAAGCTATATTTGTATGCAATTGGCTAGTTCCCCTTGGATCCCAAACAATCTAACCTTAGTAACCAGTCTACTATGCGGAACCTTGTCGAATGTATTGCTGAAGTCCATTAAAAAGTATTTGGTTCTATGAGTAGTTAAGGAAAAGATTTAAGTGGCTTCACACCACATCGTGTATTTTAACAGGAGTATCACTTCTTCATTTGGAAAATTTGAATTAAAATCAATTTCCATGTTTAGAATATCAGTTAGAAATGTAGGTCCTTTTTAAGTGTAAACCAGAATAGCAATTGAGAGTAGATGCTGTTTAAAACCTGGGTTGCTCTCCAATGGGGGAATTGGCTTCTGCACAGGGAAAGGGTCCAGACGGGAAAGCTGGGGACCGGTACCTGTGCTGTATAAATATATATACAATATGACCCTTTATAATCTCTGAAAATCTTTTGCAGCTTCTTCCGACATATGGACAGTGGTCTGTTAGCCACAGTAAAGTACATGAGTAAATGAAAACATTAGGGTAGAATTTTCCATTGTGGCTTGTGACATCACAAAGTTGAGAAAATATGACAAGAATGGGAAAAAATCAGAACAGTGATAATAAATTTTGCAATTCTTTTCCACCCCCTCACCAAGCCTTAAATGACAAATTCATAGTCTGAAGTAAGCCTGTTGGATTATAACCTGGTGTCATGTGATTTCTGACTTTGTCCACCTCAGTCCAACACCTGGCATCTTCACATCATGATTACAAATTTATGATCTCAGTATTGAACACTGTCTAAATTATATTCCAAAAGTTTGCATTTTATTAATAGTCCAGCTCACTTCTACATCATTTCGAATTCACCTCTCCTTCCCGAAAAAAATAGATGATGCAAATGCAGAGCATGTACCTGAAGGCTGCAGCTTTCCACTTGTTGTCCCTACAATCGCCCACTCTGTCTTCACCACAGTGTCACTGCATGCTCCATACAACCATGTGGGAAGAGTGTCCTGCAGTCAGCATCACAGTGAAGCAGTCTAGGAAGGGTGTCCTCAGTCAGCATCATGGTGAAGCAGTCTAGGAAGGGTGTCCTGCAGTCAGCATCATGGTGAAGCAGTCTAGGAAGGGTGTCCTGCAGTCAGCATCATGGTGAAGCAGTCTGGGAAGGGTGTCCTGCAGTCAGCATCATGGTGAAGCAGTCTGGGAAGGGTGTCCTGCAGTCGGTATCGTGATGAAACAGTCTGGGAAGGGTGTCCTGCAGTGAACATCATGGTAAAACAGCCTGAAAAGTGTGTCCTGCAGTCAGTACTTGTTAGAAAAGAAAGAGTGACATCACAGTAAAACTTTAAGTTCATTGGCTGAAGTGTTGAATTTTGGAAGATTACCTGGAGAGTTGGGGAGATTACTTACTTGAGGAGTTGGAGAAACAATGGGATGGGTGAAGAAGCAGCATGGATTATATAAATCATGGAAAGACCCGAGGCCTACATCATGCACCTTGTGAGTTGGGGAAGTAGTGGGATCTGTGAGGGAGCAGTGTGAAGCAGAATTACTGAATTTGGGAATCAAGGAGGTAGTGGGATCTGCGCGGGAGCTTCTCAGGGGATAGCAGTAAAAGAATTACAGTTCAGTTAACCTAATGTTGGTAGTGGGGGAAATGCTAGAGTCTATAGTGATAGCAGAACATTTGGAAAGCATTAATGGGATTGGTCAAAGCCACATGGGTTTGTGAAGGCCAAATCACGCTTAACAAATATACTGTAGTTTTTCGAGGATGTATCCAGTAGATTAAATAACTGACAGCCAGTGGATGTGGTGTATTTAGATTTTCATAAGGCTTTTGATAAGGCACTTCTGTGCTGACTTAGAGAGTCATAGATTCATACAGCACAAAAACAGATGCTTGATTCCAACTTTCCATGTTTCCCAAACTAAACTAGTCCCACTTGCCTGCATTTGGCCCATATCCCTCCAAAGCTTTGCTATTCATGTACCTATCCATATGTCTTTGAAATGTTATAGTTGTACCTGCATCTACTGCTTCCTCTGGCAGTTCATTCTACATGCGAACCACGCCGTGTGTGAAAAGGTTGCTCCTCAGGTCCCTTTTAAATCTTTCTCCTCTCACTTGTGTGTCTCACTTTTTAGTGCACAATATCTTCATTGCTCAGTCAGAGGCTGCGAACCTCTCTGCCTTACATTGGTTTTTAACACATAAGGCAGGGGAAGCAGCTAGTTTCAGTAGGGAGCAATGAACGGTCAAGGGGATGGACATGTTGATGTACAGCAGCATGTGCCAGCAGCTTAAGTGGAAAGCACTGTCAGTGCTTCAAGCTGTAGACCATGTGTGAAAGTCAAAGGGCACTAATCCTTATGGTGTAAAGGGGGCCTTCAGTAAGTCAGGGAGTTGGTGCCACAATCAGTA